TGAGCTGTGGCAACTTCTGACCATTCTGAATGCTTCCAGAAATCCATTTACTCCAGAATTATTATAACTGAGTTTCCTCTTTTGGGCACATCAGAAAACTGATGAGCTTCATTCACAACTTGAGAAAGATGACATCTGAACATGCGGCTGCTCCCCCTTGACATTTGCTGCCATAACTTAACATTTGTTCCACCATGTGTTGCTGGTCAATAACTCCTGGCAGGAGGTGTCCGCCTTGTTCACTGTTTGCATTTCCCTTTTTATTCCCACTGCTGCCGCTGCCAGCTGTTGTGCTGATTGCTCACAACTGCAAAAGAAACTTGGCCTGTCTAAACAGGCACTGTCAATGTTCCACCCTACTCTTCTGCATCTCTGTTTCTAATGGTGAGAGGAAATCTGCCACAAAGAAAGCAGCCTGAGATGAACCAAAGGGAATTTGAGGTTTTTAAAAAATCATATATTAAAAAAGAGATGATCATGGAGAGGCTTGGAGGAATGTGATCATTCCCCCCCACAGCTCCTTATGATTACTGCCAACACCATGAAAGCACTCCAAATAATGTTGTGGGGAATGCTGTGATACCCACATGCAATGCAGGTCATCTTCTGTTCATACAGCCTGGCATTTGGAAGACTTATTGCATCAGCAAAGACAGCCAAGAGTGAATAATCTCTACCAAAATAGGTGTAAAGCTATGTTAGCACTTACATGCTGGTTGCACCAGCATTTTCTGGTGTTGGTCCAAGCTCAGCTATTCAAAAAAAGGAATTAAGGGCCTTCTTCCCTTTAAGTTCTTTTGCCAGGTTTATGGTTCTACCCACTATGCTCACACCATTGGTGATAGTGATCTTGCCCATGGAGGATCTCTGCTTGGACTTTATCTTTGCTGATATCCTTGTGTGGCCTGGTGCAATGCCTGGCTTAGGATAGTCTTGAGTTCCTTTGCTCAAAAAAGACCAAAACTTCTCAAATCTTCTTGCTGTTCCCCATGAGAATGGAAACATTTTACCCATCCTCAGCTTCTCTGGCATCCTTTGAGCTTCACAATAGCTCACTTTTTTCTCCTCCTCCAAAATTCAGTGCAAACTTAGCTCACCTCCTGGCAGCTCCCGCAGCCTTGGCCTGCTCCAGTGTGCTCTCCAAAGATAAAATTCCTCTTTTATTTCGCTTGTTTCATCTCTCTGGAATCCTGTCCTCCCTTTCCATCTGCTTTGAGCCTCCAACTCTCACAACATCCTTAAATCTCACCTTCAAAACCTTCCTTTATGGTTTAGCTTACAGCCACCTGTGACATTAGACTGGGTATAGTGCGTGTGATGTGAAAACGTTCTGTATAAAGATAAGCTGTGGTGTAATTGCCTCAGAGCCCCACAATGGGAAAAAAAAAAAAAAAGATACGAAAACAGAACCAAATCATGCAAAATATTGTAGATAACAAACTCCATAGCTGACTGTGCAGGGCAGACGTGGTGTCCAGCCAGGGTGATGTACAGCCCCACACAAGAGAAACCCGCTGACTGGAAACCTTCTCCTCCACGGATTTGGAACTCCCCCACGGCAGAGGGGGTGGCAGCAGGCAGCTACACAGGATTTTTATAGCAAGATGAATTTATTTGTGGGGGGAAGAGGGCTGACGAGGCATGTGAGGTATGACGGGGCGTCGTGTGAGGGGCTGATCTCCTCACGGGCTACCCCAGGCCCGTGGGCGGTCTTCCTCTCTCCCCAGGGCACCAGCCGGGTCCCCTGCCCGCTCAAGGCGCCCGGTGCCAGCGGCAGTCGCCCGCCCGCCCGCCTGCTCCCGGCCCTGCGTTCGCCTCAGGTCATTCTCGGTGCGTGTGGGGTAGAACGGATGACAGGCCGCTGTCCCTTTAAATAGCATTTAGTGGTTCACGTCGCCGCCGTCTCCTCGTAATAATTAGTCGCGGGCCGTAGCTCCGCCTCTCCGCGGCCTCCCTTCCTGCGCTCCGCCAATCAGCGCCCGACCGCGTCACTGAGGGCAGCGAAACACGGAGAAAAGGAAAAAAAAGTTTGGTGAGGAGCGATCGGGGCCCGGTGGAGCGGGCGGGCGGCGGCAGGAGGCGGCGGGCCCGGAGCAAGGTGAGGGGAGAGCTGCCGGGCTGGGGGCCGGCGGGGGGAGCGGCTGCCGGCCGGCGACCCCGCTCTGCGGTGGGGCAGGTGGGGCGGCGGCCGCCCGCTCGTCCGCCCATGAGGAACGGCGGGGGGTGAGGGCTGAGGCAAGGGCTCTCCTCGCACCCCTTTCTCGCTCCGCTGACCGGCTTCACCTGGCGGGCTCCGGGCTGCGGGGCGGCGGTGAGGCCGGGCCGGGCGCAGGGCCCTGGGGCTCCTTTTCTGCCTTTTTTGGTCGTTCCTTCCTCCTCCCCGCACCCCCCCGCCGCGCAGCTCCTCGCTGCGTGCGCAGGAGCCATCCCAGGGCAGAGGTGTTTGTACTCGTGTCCTTGGGTGGAAGGCGAGAGGCGGCCGGGCGGCCCGCGGCGCACCGCCAGCCCTGCGCCCGGCCCTGGCCGCCCCGGCACCGCAGGCATTTTAGCGTGGCCGGTGAGGAGCTGGCGGCGAGGCCTCCCCGGCCGGTGGGTCCCCGAGCTGCTGCGGGGGATCGCACTTGAACTGGTAGTGGTGCCCTGCAAGTGACGGGGGCTTCCCCCGACTCTTGCGGGGCCTTCTCCCCGAATTGGGGCTGTTGGAGGCTGCACTCAGGGCATATGTTTTTGCTCCTCGGATAAGTTCAGTGCAGCGGTTTTGGCTGGGTTGGGGACATGATTATTTAGGCAGCAACATGCAGTTTGTGTTGTGGCACCCTTCCTCTTAAACCAAGGGTTTAAGCCTACAGCAGGTTGTCATCTTTTTTGAGTTTTATTGTACGAAAAGTTTCTGTTGTTCCTGTGTTCACCCCTGTGAAAGTTCAGCCAAACTTCTACGCTCTACACAAAAGCCTGGAGTGATAGATAAGGGGTGTGAATATCCACTCGTGTTTCCACAGGATGTTAGGATGGAGGATCTTAAAAAGAAAAAGAATTATTTTCTTTCCAGTAACAACAGCAAAACACAGACGCTTCCACTAAATGTGCTGATGTAATATGGAGGCATTTGGCAAAACTGATAGTAGCTACTTCTACCCCTATGTGGACTGACTTAAAGTGCACCGTTGTGTTTGAAGTCCATTCCATGGATGTTTGTCCAGGCTTGTCCTGTAATAGGTGTCATTGCGTAAGGGTTACGGGTAGTAAAGAGCATGTAGGGTTTCCTTCATTCTTGTATGGATCTTATGAGCACATCTTAACTGTGCCAAGCTATGCTGAAGAGAGAAGGGTGCAGCTTGGTAAGCTGCCCTATGGACTTCATGGGGGTGTGGAAATCAAGAAGAAACTGTTCTCTTCCTCCTCTTGCTTCCAAGCAAATAATTTTGTTTGTGTGATGTCACCTTAAATAATTTCTTTCATAGAGTGCTAATCCTGTTCTGAACTGTGGATGGTAACTCTTGAGGAAACAAATATGTCAGTTCCTTCCTTAGTCTCTTTCCTACCTCTCCTTTAACTTTTATAGCTTTGCTCTTTGAATTCTGCCTGATTTGTTTATCTACTGCTGAGGTATTTACACCTGTTCTCTATATTAGTCACCTTACCCAGAACAAGGGCACTGGCTCTTCTCTGATCTGCCATATATTCAGGCCAAAATAAGTGTGTGTTAGGATGATTTCTGTTGCCTATGATACCCAGTGTCAAAGTCTGTGATCTGTCAGTGGCACAATTCCTTGGGTTTACTACTTTCCAGGTAGAGCAGAACAAATTCTTCACTTCTGAAGAAACCATCTCCTGTGTATTTCAATGGATACCTCTTAAAGTACTTTTTTTTTTTTTGTCTTATAAAACTATGAATCATGTTAAAATAATAACAGATTAAATTTACTCCTTGACTAATCATGAATTTGTGGCAGAAATGAACAACATTGTATGTTGCATAATACACTTGTGAGAGTGTGATCTGAGAATGCAAGTTTGCATTTCAACTCCTTATTACTTTATGGCCTCAGATGGCACATTCAAAACCTTGTACAAATAGCTTGAAAGAGATAGTGGCAAGTTATCAGAGAGAGAGTAGCATTAAGGCAAACTACTGAAAAGTTGCTATGGTTACAGATAAAGGTAATCCCTGTTCCTGTGAAAGTGTCCTTTTGTAGCAGCTATATTAATCAGTCTGATTTCTGAGAGAGTTGTAAGTATGCAAACTTCTGGCTCCATTTTCTTGGCAGCTAACAGCTATGCAGCTATTCTTATGTTTTCTAAGTAGTGAATGGGTTATGACTTGCATTCAAGATACTTGATTTAAGGTACAAAGAGTATAGATTACACATAAATGTTGCTGGACCATGCTAAATTCAATGAAAACTTCAGTATGCTTTTTTTTTTTTTTTTCCCCTTCCCTTGAGGTATCTTATATCAAGGCAAAGTCTTCTAAAATGCCTAGGTAGCTTCTCAAGGACTGTGACTGAAGCAAGTGATGTGGCCATCTATTACTGGAGGCCTTGGTGGCGTAGCTGTACAGGATAGATATAATTCCATGTCCTGATTTAAAAACCCCTCAAACATAACAACAGATAAAGAAATAATTGAACACATGCCCCAAACAAAAACACCACTACCAGAAGACCAGTCTTGAAACCAAACCAACATGGAAACTGTTGAGAGCAATTGAGACCTGTTACGGATGTGCAGCTTTACAAGCCAAGAGATAACAGGGAAGGGGGGAAGGAATTATTCTCTTAGTGACTTATTCGTGTATTAAAGGAGGCAGTTGGAATCTAATGCATGGATGAACTTTCAGGTTCCTGGGGTGGCTAAGCTTTGGGTGGTTTGAAGGAGCTGCTAAGACTTTCAGGGGAATGTGTCTGTCTGATGCATCAGTACTGCTGTCCAGACTACTAACCAGTCCCCTCTGATGAAGACCCAGTATTTACTATATCCACATCTTTTGTTGTTTCTAGATTTGATTACTGCAGTACAGCAGCATATCTTGGATTGAAAGCAGCAAGAGGAAATCTGCAAGTTCTTCAAGACTACTGGAATCTCATCTGTCTGGTATGTTGTTCTCTCTAGACTCCTGGAATAGCAAGCGGAATTCTTTGTATGCAAGGGCCTCCTTAGTTACTTCTAAGAAGTCTGAAGTGTGTAGGATCTTGGCTTTTTATCAGCAACTTCATTCTTGGGAATGCATGCATTATGTATTGCTGGGGTTGTGTATAAGATTGATTTTGGTAATAGTGTTTGTAGTGGCACAGTGAATCTGTCAGCTCTAGAACGTTCAGTGAACATATAGTCTGAACTTGTTTTCATCTTACTGATCCAGCCTGAAAATCTCAGGTACTCTTGCAGACTTTAAAAACTAATCAAGTTGGAAAGTGAATTGCTAATTGACTTTCTAGAGACTGCCCACTGGTGTATTGAAGGTACATGAAAATGAATGTTTCTTCCATCAGACAGGGAATTTTCTCCTGCTGTCCTTAAGTAAACATGGCCCTCATGAAGTCTGTGTTGTTTAGCTTTGATTAAAAAAAATGATTAGTAATGTCTCAGTCATCTCTGAAATGCCCAAGTTCTGAAATTGCTACATACATAATACAGCAAGTTTGAGGACTGTTGTTTATAAACAGGATTGCAGCGTCTGAGGGTATGAAAGGAATGGGAAGCTAAACATTACTTTTAAGGCTGTCTCTAATAATAAAAAGCTGAAAGAGCTATGTTTGTTTGAAAATAATAAAAGCTTCATTACATGCTGTCTTGCTGACATAACTGACAACCAGAGGGTAAAGTCCTTTTCTACAATGCAAGTTCAGTATGTGTGTGCAGCAGTTCAGTTGCTTTGCTACTTATTAACGTGTATAGAATCCAGGAGGTGCAGTGTATTTTAAGGCTGTGAAAAACAGGTGCAGAATGTGGTGAGGAAAGCTGTTGTGCTTCACACTGATCTGTTGGGAACCAGGCAGTGAGTAACCATTTCTTCATCTAATCCCTGAACAGCCATCACATGTACCTTTTGATCGCTACTATTCTGGTCTCTGAACTGGTGACTTGAAGATAAAAGGCTCTGTTCTTGATCTCTTGAGCTGTTAAGTCCTCCAAACTTGCTGTCTTCTATGTGTGAGATTGTAGAACAAATGGCCTTTTAGCTGTTCCATGATTACAGCAGTCAAATGAGAGTCAGGTGCTTTCTCTTGTTACTGTCAGTGCAAAGTTTGGTGGCAGCAAACTAAAGCTTTCCAATGCTGGTGTCAAAACTTCCCTGCTTAATGGACTTGCAGCTGCAATCTGCTGTTTTGGAGTGTTTTTCTGCGTTGTGACAGATGTTGTAAGAGCCGCAAAGCCATAACTGGACTTTAAAGTAGTGCCTCTGCATTTTCTTCAGAATGTGTATTCACAGGGAAACCAGGTTGGTTATGTACAGAAATTGAGCTTATAAATTAGGCTTCTAAATATCTAGTTTCACTAGGCCCCCTTCAGCATGGAATAATACCTTGAATAGCAATTTTTTGTCTGGATTTCCAACATCTACAGATGTGTTTACCTGTGATTTGTAGTGCAGTGAGCCACATTCAGCTGTGAACCTCATTTGCATGTCGCGCTTCACAGATTTTTATTAGTCTTCTGTGAGGACAGCAAATTACTCTTGTGGCATTCTTCTTATGATAGTTTTGTGTTGTGTGTGGTTTGGTTTGGTTTTTGTTTTGCTTTAAATGAGATGAGGTAACCAAATCTAGGAGGTCAGTGTTGAATAGGGGAGAATCTCTTTTGCTGTTCCCCTTATGCTCTGGGTAAACCCTGCTCTTGCTTATCAGAAGCTGGCCAAATTTCTGCCAGAGCAGTGACTAAGAGGCAGATGGAAGGGTCTGATGAGCACCGGAGCTGGCCAGCCTGTGTGACTGGGGGGGGGGGGGGGGGGGGGAATTAGGTGAGAAAAAAGGAATGAAACTTCTCACTTGTAGTGATAAGGAGCTGCTAGTTGCCTGTGTAACAGAAGCATGAGCTGAAATGTGGCCTGGTTGGTGATAAACATTACTTTTCATCACTGTTGCAGTTACAAGGTGGCTGGATGTCTGTGGTAGCATACAGAGCTGGGGAGTTTTAGGGTAATGTGTCTGGTTTGGGTTTCTATTTATCCTCCCCTTTTGAAAGTACTTAAACAATAACGCTGACTTTAGGCTTGTCATGGCCTCTTCTAGCATTAGGTGGTTTGACTGATAAGACTTGTGACTTCTGTTGTTTTTATGGGCCTAAATTTATTGTGTTTTAAACTTGAAGCTTTCCAAGATGGATTACTGAAATGCTTAGAGGGTGTTTTACTGGTATGTGTTATTTGCATGAACTGTTTTCTTGGGTTTGATTGCTTAGATAATGTTTGGTCAAAAATCCTGTCATGTAAGTACGGCCTCAGAGTTGGCTTCAGAGTTATCCTCAGGGGACCTGATTAACTTCTAGTCTACTGACTCATGCAGAGCACTGAATTCAGGTGTAAAGGTTAAGGTCTGTTTCTCTCAGTTATATTTTAGGTTCTGTAGGGGAAGTTATGCAGATCTTGATAATTCCATTTGTGTAGTGTTTACTACTTAGTAACTTAAAACTGCATGAACTGCTGCTTTTCAGGCCTGTTTGGATTTGCGGTGTAATAGATTGCTCTAAAATAGAAGGTAGCATTACATGTGCTGTTTGACCGTTTTAGAAGAATTAAATGTCCTTCCAGAAGGTGTGTTTTATGCTCTGTTGGTGCATGCATTTCAGCTCAGGGGAGCACTTGGCTGTAAATATTTTCCCTGATGCTGGGCGGTATTTGGAGTAAAGCAGATCTGCTAAAATGTCTTGGGCTTGATCACTCAGCATTAGGAAAGTTACAACAGATACACATTTTGTGGTATAGGCAGAAGGTGAAGGGAAGGCAGGCTGCTCCAGCCTGGAAGAGGAAAGTGGGAAGAACTAAAACGGGAGAGTTTACCCCTTCTGCCCCTTCACAGTACAAACTGAACCCAAATGTGCTTGCACTGAGTGCTGCATCTTCCCCTAGCTTTATACCTTTAATTATTTTACACTAAGTGTGTGACGGTGTTTTATGCAAGGCAGCCTTGGTGTGCAGAAAAGTGGTGTGTAGAAAAGTGGTGTGTAACCATGATACTTGTGGGTTGCAGGGGGAACACTGGCTGCGTTTTGGCTCTTCCCCAGCTTGCTTGTTTGGAATAGGACAAGGTGTCACATCTCCACCTGTGAAATACTTAAGCCTTGTTTTGGTTTTACTCTTCCTGCATGTTCCAGACTTTTCACTTGATAGATGGGTGGAGAACTGAATCAGTGTTTATGTTGTGGAAAAAAAAAAGACTTTTCACCTAAACAACAGGTTTTTGTGTAGTGCTGAGAGGAAGTTACGCTGTGAGAAACGGTCTGGATCGTGAGAATCTGAACAGGGTCTTGCAAATGTGTTCAGTCAAGTGAAGCCTGAATAAGCACAAAAAGTTTCTGGCAGAGCCATGGTACCTTGTGAGATGGAGACGGTCGCTTCCTGCGGAGCTCCTCTTGTGCTGACTCACGCTTTCAATTGAAACAAGCCTTGGGAACGGGCATCCCCGCGTATTTTTAGCCAGGGTTACTAATTGATGTAGTGTGCCCGGCTTCGCGGGGTAACTCCAGCCACTCTCTAAGAGTGGATGGGCTCAAACCCCACGTCTAATATACCCTGTAAGTAGAGCAAGCTGCAGTTGTGTAACTGCAGCGGGTGAAGCATTTCCACTTCACTCGCCTGCTCTCCTCACCCCAACCCATCCGGCCTGAGAGCAGCGTGCAGGGTAGGGGTGGGTGCCCGCAGGGACCGGTGCTGCCGTTCGCAGGGGCACTCTCCGGAACTGGCTCGGGGCGACGCGTCGGCAGAGGTTGTAGTTTGTCACAGCCCGGAGCGGAGTCCTGTCCCTTTAAGAACCCGCTCTCCCAGGGTGTTATAACCCGCCCAGCCTAACCTGCTAGCAAGGAAAAGTTCTTTAAATAATGGATACGCCGCTCCGCCAATCGGGGAGCGGAGCCTGGCTAGTGGGGCGGGGCTTTCTCTCCTCGACCAATCGTGGCGGGGGAGGCGGGGCTGAGCGTCCAGGCTAGGTTGCGCCGAAGTGCAGCTCCAAGTGAAGTTAATCTGGGGTGAAGCAAACAGCAAATTGAGGCGATTTCGTGGGTAGGAATTTTCCGGTTCTAATCGTGTCGTGTGGTGTTATTTCGCCCTCCGGGGCAGCGAAGTTCATGTGCATGGGGCTTTTTCTCCATTGTTTCGCTTTCTAATGATGGCAGGATATTAACATCTATGCAGGGAAGCAGAACAAAAGGGCTCTTTACACAGGAAATAAGGTGTTGAGAGGTTCAAACTTGACCGAGTTTTCTTTTCTCATCTGTTGGCTTGAACCGGGTGTTTACGCGTGGAAGGATCAAGTCCTTCCAGCTTATTTTATGGAGAAATGTTAATTCTAAAATAGGGAGGATAATGCTGCTCGTTTGGAGTTACACAATGTTACAGAAAGAGAGCTCGGTTTTAACTCTAACTTCTCTGATTCTGATGAGATTTCGGCTAATTAATGATGACAGCTGCCACGGGATTATTCAGTGATAGCATTTGCTCCAAGTCATTTGTCTTAAATTGTCTTTTGTTGTATCACTGAGGACGGCTGTGCTGTTGTCTGTATGTTTGTTCTTGATGAGATGAATGTCTCGCAGGTCTTTAGCATTTAGAACAAAGATCTGTAAAAACTATGTAGAACATTGCATTTTTTTTCTCTTTTTAATCAGTTTTGTAGAGTATCTGGGTCTCTCAGAGCTCCGATTATAACTACAGGCAGGAGAATTAAGTGTTACTGCTCTGTGTTGCAGCTATAGCCCTTCCAGCAAGGGAAAAAAAGAGGGGGAGGAGATTATTTTCCTTTGGAATTGGTCAGAATCTCTTTTGAATCCTGTATTGCCCGTTGCTAGCAGGTGTTTTGTTTGAGGGAAGATTTCAGTTTCTGTACCAGGTTTATCGTAAATGATTTTTTTTTTTTTTTTGGTGACACTTTCTGCATCTT